CCATAATTATGAGTTTGTATCACCTCCAAATCTCAAACTCTTACAGATCGGAAATTTTGTTTAAAATAAAAGTTTTGTGATCTGAATAAACAAGATTACTCAAACTCTACCTTTTATAGATGTTACATGCATTAAAAAATTGGCAAGCCTTAACTTACTAAATGGCCTACTTAGCCCCACTCTTGTATCCAAATAGTGTACTCTTATGCCTTAACGCTGTCATTTCCCTAGTCGTTGAACATGCAAGGAGGGAAAAGGAGGGACATACTCAGGCTTGCGACACTTAAAAGGAATAAACCACATACTCGTGAAAACTTGACCACTTTCAATTATGAACAGGATTTAGAACGGGAGAAAGCCATTCGTTTGGATCAAGAAAGGGCGGCTCGTGTTCAGTCTTCTGGAGTGCCTGATCAAAGCCCAATAGCAAGGCAAAAGTCTGGATTTGAAAATGGTAAGTCAACATCAATACAAGCATAATTAATTAAGCGTGCATCTGACTCTATTTTTCTATGTCTTATCATTTAATTACTGATTGCAGGAAATTTGGCACGTAAGATTTCAAGTGCTAGCAGTTTGAGCAGTATGGAGGAAAGCTATTTTCTGCAGGCATCTTTAGACTTTTCGGAGACTTCTTCTGATCGTAGAAATACCGGAGAGGTTACGATGAGCCCATACTACGTGAAGAGCATGACTCCAAATGTTTATGAAGCTTCACTCCGCCAGAAGGAAGGCGAGCTTGCATCATACATGACACGATTAGTATGTTTTCATCACCAATTTTTCATATACTATCCACTGTTTTTTTAATCGCAACTTGTTGACTTTTTGCACTGTTCACATGATCTACTTTGACTACATTTTACACTATTATTTTATGAAAATTATTTTTTAAAAAAATATTTTTCAATTCATCTCACTACAAATTTTCAAAATCTGATTTTTAATATTTTTTTATTAATAGAGATTAAGATATACTTACGGTCAAATGTGTGCGTTGGCAAATGTGCCAAGGTTGACTGTTGCAACTAAAAAAGAACGGAGGAAGTGTATGTTTTTTATACGCAGTCGGCAGTTCAGATCAGTGCTATAATAATAAACGATCAAAGTTGACATATCTGAAATGTTTTTTAATTTTTGTTATTGTTTTACTCTTACAAATTACTTTTTGATCTTTTTGACCAACTCCAGGCATCTATGGAAGCCATTCGGGACTCTCTTGCTGAAGAGTTAGTAAAAATGACGGCAGAAGTGAGTATTCCCCCAAGCCTTAGCTTTATTTATGTCATTTTTATTTAGGTTTACTACGCTTACCTGTCCTGATGTTTGGTTAACTTACCAAATAATTCTTGAGGCCCCTAGAATTTGAAATAAGCACCTCTAGCAGTCAGATTTTTTTCCATTAGAGTTGCCCTCATTATTTTCCCTGAAGATTAGCTTTATATATCGATTCATGAAATGCATTATAACACCAGATTATATATCACTATATCCTTTAATCTTTCTTGTTAAAGACATCCTTTCCGCAAAGCTAACTAATCAAGGGACTTAGTTTTTAGTTTTCAGAGACCGTCAGGGTCATTTAAAAATCTGTCCAAACCTCGGGGAGGAAGATGTCATTATCCCTTCTTGATAGTTCCTTTATTTGACACAATTATTTATTCGTTTCTAATGCAGTGTGAGAAGCTTAGAGCAGAAGCTGCAATGCTGCCTGGAATACGGGCTGAGCTAGAAGCACTGAGGCGGAGGCATTCAGCAGCACTTGAGTTAATGGGTGAGCGGGATGAAGAGGTAATTTTGTTTTGTTTTTACCTTTTATTTCCCCAATTACTTCTCAAATTGCCCTTACAAGAGAAGGCTGTATACATTGTACTACCTCCGTCCCATACAAAGGCTCCCGTCCACTATTTCTCGGTCAACTTAAAGCCTTCTTAATCTTTTACTTTATGTAACCAACTTTTATCAAATTTGAGTTTTTTTTTGCAACTCTTTAAAACTTTTAATGTAGTTTATGAATATGGGACAAGGATAAAAATTAGTTTTTTTTCCAAATAATAATTTTATTGTCAGTCAAACATCGTAAACCGTGTGGGAACCTTTGTACGGGACGGAGGGAGTATTACTTACTAGGAAATTTTGACCTTGCACCACATAATTTGAATCTCTGATACTGTACACCAAAGTGGGCCCTTTAGATTTTGTGCCACATGATGCACCTTGGTATTTGACTCTGCTGCGCCTCATGATACAAATCACTGGATTAATCACATATGGAGGTATATGTTACCAGGAAAAATCCATTAGGGGTCTAACAGTACACCACGGGGTGCAAATTCAAAATTTTCCTTATTTATTTGGGTACTAGTTGTATGCAGTTCATAGATGGGGAGAGATCTTTGGGCTATGTGCAGATCCCAAAAAATGCAAGGGACAGGAAATAAAATGTTAAGGGAAGCCATTTTTTTGAATTTACCTCGAAAAATGCAAAATAAAATGAAATATAAACACTTTTTTACTCATGTTCTGATTGTTCATCATTTATATAATACGTAGTACAAATTAGTAAACAACCAAATAAAAATGAATTTGAACAAATAGAAAAACTAAAATGATTGAGTTTGGACTTTGGACCGATGTTTTATTTTCCTCAACATTTTCTTTCCTTATAAAATTCTCCTATATTTTCCTTCATATTTTTGTTCCCTTGTAATTTCTGGGTTTCTGCGACCCAAATGGATCCTTTGGGTCAGGAACCATCAATTCAGATCATTTAGGGGCTGCAAAAGACACATTTGTAGTTCTAAAGTTCATGAGACCATTTCTAGAAAGTTCATTGGAGATTCTACCCTTGCAAATTGCATTTGCAGAAATAATTTGATTGGGTTATATTCTCATGGCAAGTTTCTGTTTTGTAGTTGGAAGAACTGCGAGCGGATATAGTGGACCTGAAAGAGATGTACCGAGAACAAGTAAATTTGCTAGTGAACAAGGTATGCTAGCCTGGTTTATTGTAGTAGTTGATAAAATCTATTTGTCTTATGAACTTTTCTTTAATACGTATATATTTGGGGGTTTGACCGATAACTACATGATAAATGAAAAATCTGTCACCAAATCATGTCCATCTTCTTTTGACAAATAACACACTTTACTATCAAACTACCATCAAGAACTCCAACTTCGTCCACCATACAACTTTCAAAGTACAATTATTTTTATAAATAAAATAAAATAAAATTAACCTGAAGCTGCCATTACTAAAAATTCTAAAAGCGAAAGTCAAACCCTAAAGAGAGGAATTGAGTGAGTAGTCTCCACAGCCATTGCCACTATTAAACACTCAATGCAAAACCCTAAACTAGGGGTGGACCAGGAGCAGTATTGGTTCCGAATCGGCCAGTCCCCAGTCCCCACCCTCCATATCCGAGATCGGGACTGGTTCCGGAAACGGGTCTACCTCTATCCTAAACCCTAAACCCTAAATAAAGGGGTAAATAGGTAACATGTCCAAAAAGATCTAATTAGGCCAATAGGTAAATAAGGTCATCATCATTACCTATGGTGGGGTAAGGGGGTCAGATGTACGCAGCCTTACCCATGTACTAAATAAAGCATAGAGAGACTGTTTCCGGATAATAGGTAAATAAGGTAATGTAGACAAATAAGGCTTGGTCGGAAAAGTGGTCATTGGGGTGTGCTTATTTCTTGCCGTGTATGCAGATCCAAGTGCTTAGCTCCTCTCCGGGATCTAGTTGAAGCTTTGATTTCACATCTGGCCTCCTTTTCTGTTCTATATCTGTTGATTAAATTGTGACGACTCCCTACTGGTCCCCTGGTTAAAGATGTAATCAAGTATGGAGTAATCCTTTTCTTTTAAATACCTTCTAGTAAATCTAAGAGTGATGTTTTCCTTTTTATATTTGTATAGTATATTCTATTTTTAGTTGTTATTTTTTATTACCCAGATTGTACTAGTTTTGGTTGTTTGGTTTGGAGTGATTGTTAATATAATAACAACGTGAGATAAGGCTATTCCCCTTTGTGGCTTTGTGTAGTTTTGTTGGAAGAATGACTTATTTTGTGTCTTTCACTTTTGAGAATACGATAAAATGACGTTCCCACAAAAAATGGACAGTCTGGTGCTATCAAAAGAATTGTGTTCTTACTAGTTAGGAGACTAGTAGATACTATCAGATTTCCGGTATTCATTGTCAATTTGAATGGCACTTGAAATAGTCGGTCTAAAAGTCTAAAACGCATGGATATTCATAAATAGATAAGAACTCTTTAGTCTTTAACAGTGTTGTTGGAGACTCGTACCTTGATAATTTTGTAGACTTGTACCGTTTTTTATTATTTTGTACTCACAACGGTTCTTTTATACGGAGTAATTATGGAACTGACTAATTAAATTTTAAGCTGAAATTTGATGCACATAATTTATACTTGATGAAAAACAATTTCATTAAATTTTATAAAAAAAAGTTCTACCTAGAAGCATCTTGAATGAAGATTACTGATGCGAATGTATAAGAACTTTGGTTCTTTGCATAAGAATTGAATCTGAATTGGAATCGAACCGGAAAAATACTATAGGAATTTGCTAAAAAGTCCAAAGTTATAGGAATCGAATCGGTTCGGTTTTCTCAGTTCCCAAACCTACTTATTCGGTAAAAGTCATGTCCAATAATCCATATGATCAATTATACTACCTCCGTCCCAAAAAACTCCATTTTCGAAACATTGACCGGCTATATCTTTTTATTAAAAATGATTTATAATAGAAAAGTCATATAAAAATGTTCTTTGTTATAAGTACTTTTATAAAAGTATAAAATTTATAACTTACATAATATTACACTAATCAAAATTAAGATTCAAGTTTTTTGAAATGACAAAGTTTTTTGGGATGGAGGTAGTATCTATTAATCCAAACTAATTAGACATATGTAATTGATAAATACATCGAGTCATTACAAAAATTGATATTGAGCTAGACTCAATTTTTTGAGAGAGCCACTCAAGTTCCAATTTAAGCAACTGAAGTCTAGTTGCATAACGAGTGGGTAACGAGGTGCTTTTAGGGTTTATCTCCAACTGTTTCTCCTTAAAAAAAAGCTCTTTTCGTGAGGTGCTTTTTTTTAGAGTTTGCAACCTTGGTCGTTTGCATATCGGGCGGAGCACTTGAAGGAGTTGGAGCTTCTTTCGCGCTCGTCGTTATCCCCATCCTTTGCAGCCGTCGCTGCAAACTTCCGCCCGACTTCTTCCGCACCAGTCACCACCGACTCCTTTTCTGCTTCTGCGAGGTATCTTTGACTTCCAGCATTTGGGCGTTTCCTTATTATTTGGTTAAGATTTTGGAGGGCAGGATGGAGGGGAAAGGGGATAGCGTGAGGGAGGAGCGAGTGGTGGAGGCGAGAGCAAGAAATATCAGTCACAACGTCAGGTGCACTGAGTGTGGCAGTCAATCCATCGAAGACTCTCAAGCTGACATTGCAATTCTTCTCCGCAAGGTAATTCTCTCCCTGTCTCTCTCCTTCTTCCTCGAGCTTCTATCTATGAATATTGCTGAATATCAGACCTTCTGTTTGCAATCCGTTCCAGAGGCTTTGCTTTTCTGCCCATTAATAACAAGCTAATAGCTGCGTTCAATTTTCACCTTTCCTCAAGCTGGTTAGCTCTTTGAGATTTATACTTGTTTTACGTTTCCTTTTGGCTATGTTTGTGTCCTGGAAAATGTTACCGAAAGCAAAGGAAATGCAAAGGATAAAGAAATATGCTTTATGTTTTGCTACTTTACATTGATTTAAATTGCCTAGTATTTATATCATCACATGACTAATAATTTAAAATACTCCCAGAAATATGTTTATCAAGTCCGAACCAATACTTAAATTTCCTCAGCAGTCCGTTTCCTTCTAAATTTCTCTGCATCCAAATGGACCCCTTGGATTCTTTTTTGGGTAACATTCTAACCTGTCATAATATCTAGAGAAATGGTGAATGCTAATGTCAACATACTTGATTGGGATGAGACTCCAACTATAAACTTCACTTTGGGATCACTTTGAAAGGGCAACATTGATGAAAAATAGGGAGACCAATAAAAAGAAAATGGAGATGAAATAATAAATGTTCAGAATGCAATAATCAATTTTAGTAATTTGCTAAAACTCCTTTTTTATTTATATGACTATTTAGCAATCTAAACATATGTTATACTTTCCAATTCCTTGCAATGAAAAGGATGAGAAAAAAAGATCGTCTATCATATCACATTCAAGGTATCCATTTCCTTATGGCTTTCAAGTTGCTCCTCCTGTAGGCTGTAGTCATGGTGAACACATAAACATTATGCACAACTGCACAAGTGCACAACAACTATATATGAAGATATTATGAGTCACCATTTCAAAAACATCCGTCATGTAGAATATTCATATGTGTAGTTTGTGCTGTTTTTAAAAGTTATGCTATAAAGTGGTTCTAGCTGTTTAAGATTTATTCTTGTTTTTTCACCTTTCTAGCCAATACTACAAATGAATGATAATTTTCACTTCATTTCAAACTCTAGTAGAGAAGTCAGAATGTCGCTTCTTGCGAAAACGCTCTGCTGTACTATTTCTAGTTTCGATCATTTCTCGAAGATCGTTCTAACCTTCTTTGATTAGTATTCATATAATACTCTTTTTCATATGTGATGTATTAAATTTCCGTGGGAATTATATGAAGTTGATTCGAGATGAGATTCGAGCGGGGAAAAGTGACAAAGAGATCTTCAAAAAACTGGAGGACGATTATGGCGAGACAGTGCTTTATGAACCAAAATTTGATCTTCAGACAGCGGCTTTGTGGCTATCACCGGTCAGTTATATACTATAGACTTAACTTTTTCATTTTCAATGTTATGTTTTCCTTTCATTAGTTCAGCTTTCTGTAGAATTTATCTATGATTAATAGATCTTGTTACAGCTTATTACTGCTGGTGCTGTTGGAGGTGTTTGGGCTTTCCAAAGACACAGGAAAAAGACCAATGTGCACATCATGGCTTTGAATCTCATTAGGGGGGTCCCGCTAACACCTAAGGAGAGGGAGACCATGCTTAATATCCTTACCCCACCCCCTTCACAACATTCTCCCTTGTATTGGTGGAAGAGATTGATTGGTCATTGAACTCCAAGAATATGATTCACATTCTACCCTCCAGCCTGTTCAAAATATGTTTGCCTTTGGCTGTGTAATTCACTAATTTGATGCAATGGAGCATATACTCTTCTTTAAGTTGTCACCCTCTAATGAGTATTCATGTTCTGTAATTATGCAAGGATTACAGTTTGGATATGCATTCACTTCTTGGATATGCGTTCTCTTCTTCACTGTCGCTATCCTCTAGCTGATCTATATACTTAATACTCTGTAGTTGTTATTGCCTATTCTTTGGCCAGCTACTTTGTGCCTATGTAAATAAATACTCTCTTCTTCCCAAACAGCTTACGCTTGGTTGAAATAAAGGGTTTTGGAGAACTTAGGACCTGTTATCTTGCCTGTAAAAAATTGACTTGGTGCAGCCGCGCAGTCCGAATAGTTTGTGTCCGACACTCCGGCTTGATATGGATGATATGATAATGTCTTATTTTCTTGACTGAATTGTAAGTTTGTAACATCCGGTTTGTACTTTGAATTTTCGTGGTCAAGCTAGTATGAGTGTTTCTGTTTGGTGTGATCAAGCAAAAGGAAAAACAAGGCGATGCGAAACTACCATTGCCTACCTCACCATAAAAATGAGACAATAAGGGGGCATTTGTGAAGGCATAAAGTAATCATTTTGCGTGCAAAGTGTAGGGATGTAAATAATTTACACCGATTGCTACGATTATGTAATGTAAACTATAGGGTACTATTTTAAAACATTTTACGTTATACCAGGCAAAACACTTTACGTGGGAGTGGTAAAATACTTTACATTCTTAATATAAAATTGATCAAATTCAAATTTGACCCTATTTTTCATGACAGACTTGGCGACATCTCTAACCGACTAACCCTTACTCACCACGTCACTTCTTCTCTACAACATCACCATTCTTCTGCTCTTCACCGAATATGAAGCAATTGCAGAGTTGCAGACTATGGGTAGAACTCAATAAAAACGGGTCCCTCAAATTATACGTTATGTGGGTGTTTGATAGCTTTATCAGTAGTTTATCTTATTGCTTATTACCGATAGTAGTTCGTATCAATTTTCAATATTTTTTCGCCAAATACGAATTTCATGGCATAATTAGCATGCCACGATGTAGTTAACTGAGTTTCACAATTGTGGACTGGTTTTGAATCGGGTTTCACAATTTTTCATTCTATTTGCTTTCCACGATGACATGAAAAAATGGAGTTTTGACTTAGGGCTCGTTTGGTAGTTTACACGTTAAATCTTTGCACGCGAAGTGATTGCATGCAAAGTATAGAGAATTCATCATTTTGCATGTAAAATAGATTACATTGTTTGGCTAGATTTAGATGTGTAATTTATTTTTAAATTGCATGCAAGGCCGTTCCCGTGCTTCATAAAAGGTACACAAAGTATTTTACCACTTTCCCCACATAAAATACTTTACCTGGTATAGTGCAAAATATTTTTAAAAAAGTGTCATACAGTTTACATGAAACCATCAAACCAAATAATGTAAACATTTTACGTCCTTACACTTCACATGCAAAGTAATTATTTTACATCCTACCAACTACCAAACATCCCCTTAATGGGAGTTTTACGTATGAACTTATTTGCTTCACATGTATTTTAAAAGTAGATCGGATATTACACTAAACAATGTGTCTATCTTATTAAAATCTTATAAACACCAATGATAGTTAGGACATTTAAGGTATAAAAAAAAAGTTGGTGTAAAACTGAAGGGTTGTACATTTTGGTATACTCGGTGTACCATTCATTTTTAATCTTTATTTCTCTGTTAACGTCTAAAACCATATATCCCCTCGCGTTGCCTACACCTTTTATTTCTCCGTTAACGTGTACGAGTATGTATTAATTGCTTTAATTCGCCTTTTCATTCCATTTACAATGTTACACAATTCTCTACGTCATATTTACATTATAAGTATAGCTTTTATCTTTTTCATTTGGAATGAAACGGTTTACAAAATTACTCGCCACACGGATCTCCACTAATTAGAGTTGCAGATAAGTACACAATGAGCCCGTCTGGTAGCACCAAAATCGGGTGTTTTGGCTGATTCTACTGAAATTTATGAAGTTATGGCTGAAGTGACTGCATTGGCTGATTCTGCTGATTTAAGAAAAAATTATTTTTAAAATATATTTTATTAATAAAATAAATAAAAAGTTATATGTAAAAATAGCTAAAATTGTCATGTACAGTATTTTCAGCCAATACAGCCAGAAAAGTAATTTCAACCTTACCTTTTCCGCTTATTACACAATTCAGCGCACGAAAGCAAAAGTTACGTATTTGGTGAAAAAGTTGGCTGATAAGTTTGATAAGCGGAAAAACAGTCTTGCCAAACGGCCCCAATATCTAAAACTTCTGGAAGTGAAGAATAAATTAGTAACACTATGCATCAGCTTTTTCGAATTTTACAACTAAGTGCGTAGTAATAGTTTGTTGGTACAAAATATGTTGGCCCTTTTACTTTGTATTCACGTACTAAAAATCACACACAGAATGATTAGTGTTCCGAACTTAACATATAATACGTTAAATTAACATAATCATCTACAAGGGCGGATCCAAGAATCTGGGATACCCTGGGCTGAAATGCAATTATACTAGGCTTAAACATTATGGAACTGGGCTAGATATGAAAAATTAAAAAAATTACACTAAGAAAGTTGGGAAAAAAATTAAACTACCTTGGGCTTCAGCCTACCATAGTCCATACATAGATCTCCCCTGATCATCTACACAAACACGAAACACCTTATTTATAGTTTAAAATCCACAATAAGTTATGTTCTATGGAATTCTGTAAAATATAGGACACCAACTAATAAGTCAAAGTCGGTAAAAAAAAGTAATAAGTCAAATTACTCCCTGTTCAAATATTCTTCCCTATTTGACTTGAATCATAGTTTAAGAAAATGAGAATAAAGAAAAAAAATGTATAATTGTAGTTGCGTAAAAAAAAGTAAATGGATGCCAGTTGCACAAAAAGAGATATGAGAAAATATCTTGGAACATCCCAAAAATATAAGTGAGAAGAATTTTAGGGGATGGAGAGAATAGTTTGTAATAGTAAGATAAGAAGTATAAATATTTGATACCATGTTTTGGGCAGTCAATTATCTAATTAATAAACTATTTTCAAAAATTAAAGTCGCACTTTAGAACTACCATAACTTGGAATCGAGCTTGGGAAAAAGTGTTTACTTGAATTCAAAATTTAAATATAGTGATTAGATTTAGGAGTTTTCCTCGAAATATTACTTAAATTATATGTAGTACTCAGTTACGTAGTATAAAAAATAACTAAATGGTCACTTGCAAAATCAATATAGCTACTTCATTGATAAAATGTTGTCACTTTCCATCAAGGACACCTTTTTATATCTACCTTTTATTTGATTAATATAGTAGTCATTATTTTTTTTTAAACCTCATTTCTTCTTTCAGATACTACGTATTTCATCTCTTTTTCAAGAAGTGATTTTTGTGAACAACGTAGTATAACATTTTTACAATGATGTGACTGAAATTATTATGACTATATTTTTATGGTCACTGTGATATAATATTTAAATATAATTATAACTTCTGGAGTCGCGTGCTAAATGAAACGTAGACCATCATCATCCAAAGGTTATTAAGTTACGTGTTTATCCATTGTCCTTATTTTGATCATACCTTAAGAATTACTTCCATGGTAACACTTAAGAGATGACAAGTTGACAATCATTTTTCTATTATTTTCAACAACAATGTACCTCACATTTTTTAGTCAATATATCTCCATCTAAAAGACTAACAATCCATGTAGAACACTTTTCAATGATTTATTCATATTAATCCGTTGCATACAGTATATTCTCCAACCTAAAAAAGACTTATTTGTGCAAACAAAGTCTTAATATTATGATCACTATATGAAATGGATTAATATGTCAAAATTGTTGAAAAAAGTTCTACATGAATTGTTAGTCTTGTAGATGGGATATATCATGATGTCAAAATTGTATTGTGCATTTTTCTGTCGCGCAAGGCGCGTCAAACAACTAGTACTTTATATGTGAAATGTTTGCATCCCTACCGTTTACATGCAATCAGTTTACATGTAAAGTTTTAATGCGTAAAAGAACTAAACACCTAGACCTGTACAAAACCGGCCCGGCCCGCCCAGCCCACCCGCACAAATTAGCGGGCTTGGGCATATATATTTACCCACCGGCCCGGCCCGAGCCCGGCCCGCAACAACATATGGGCCGGCTTGGGTTAGGGTGTAGGCCCGTTCGGGCCGATAAGCCCGGCCTGCTACATTTAGTATATATACATATATACTCCGTATATTTTTATATATACTAATTTATGTATTTATTTACATGTACACATGTATATTTATATTTACTAATTTATATGTATTTATAGTTTATTATGTTTAAATTTAAGTTTTTAGTTCTAAACAAATAGTCCAACCAATATAATACTCCTTATCTATTTTTGTAGTTAAAGACAATACTTTGTGCTTGAATTTTAAATTTTAGATACAGTTTCTCATTATAAGCGTATTAGCAATTTTTTAAATGTTGTAATACTATTTATAAAGTATTAAATAAATTATACGGAGTATAATTTTGAAAATTTTAAAGTTTTCCCGGGCCGGGCGGCCCGGTGGACTACCCGGCCCGCTCTTACGGGTGGGTATGGACATGACGTTAGGCCCGCCCACACATGATGGGCAGAAAACTTATGAAAAGCCCGGCCCGAACCCGCTTTTGTGCAGGTCTATAAACACCCCATAACATTATTGGTCTTATTATGGGGTCAGCTTGAATTGGGAGAGTAACTATCGGCAAAGACTGCACTCGCCGATAAGGCGATGAATGATCGACTGATGTGTTGACACTAATTTGTGATACCACCCTCATGTCTATCTGCAGTGAACTACTGCCTATCGGCCTTCGCCCCATCATGAATCCACTTTAGTTAAATGGATAATGTTATTTACTCATACCAATTTCTTAAAGACAGATTAAAGAATAATTAAACTTGAGAACTCTGAAATTAAGGGAACTTAGAAGGATGATTGATCCATTAGAAAATAACATTTTATTTCTCATGATATATACTAAACCCCTAAAAATTTCCACCCAAAACTCCTCCAAGATCTTCTATCATTTGCAATTCCTCTTGAAACCAAAATGTGTTTATATTAGCCGCCACAATGTTTGGTTTGTTTGGTGTGTCTGTTAGAGATATCGAGTCAAAATGGATAGTTTGGTAGGGGGCTTTTCAATCATGGTCTCATGGACCCCTCAAGGCCTCAACTTTTTCCATTCTTGTAGATAAATTAAAACAATGTAAGGGTTGAAAAGTCACACTTCAAATCGTACACGAAATGTGTCCTACTTTACAAGACAGTACCTTGCATTCATAAGGACAAAGGCACTTGCAAGATTTTGGTATGAACTCAGAGAACAATTTGGGAGGTGTAACTGAAGCTTGTGAAAACAATATAAATGGGGATAGTTGAAGCCAATCCTGTTGGAAATGCCCCACAAATGGTTCAAGCTGTAGCTTCATATGCTCCGAAGCACAAACCTGGTCAGCCACCATCTATTGGTGTCCCCTGGAGCACTGGATTATTTGATTGCCATGAAGATCAAGCCATTGGTTAGAATTTTTTTAGAACTTTAGTGGTTTTCTTGCATGGATATTCATGTATGTTACTTTATCTTGGAGTTTTCCTGATTTATATGAAATCCCTCTGCAATCCCCCCCCCCCCCCCCCAATTTTACTGGAATATCAGCTGCACTTTGGAACAACACTTTAAGTTAGTTCTTGGTTTTTCTCCATGTTGAATTAGGAGGAGGTTGGTAAGGGTGAAATGGTGGATGATATTGATGAAGTTGCATAAATTATTAAAAAACGAGAAAATAATGTTATGTTGTTAAAAATATAAAATAGAGGAAAAAATATGCTATATACTTCCTCCGCCCTTATTCAAAATTTGTGTAATTTTCATTTTGTAGGACGGTCCTAAGTAAAGCACTCCCCGTATCTAAAAAACATAGTCTTTTTCTCTTAGTCCCATATTAGCGTAACTTTACAATGTCAAACATTGTCTAAACAACATTCAGCCTCACTAAAAAGGGTATTTATGAGACTGACTTCGAAAGAACTTTATGAAGGGAACGGAAGGAGTATGAAAACGGAAATAAATAATAATGTCCATCAACTTCAGCCAAAAAAGTACCTCTTAGGCTCTTATAGTCTTATCCGAGTGTTTTTTAATAAATAACTGATTCAACAACTCCAACAAGGTACATAGTCAAAGATAAAGGGTTTAACAAACTGAACAAGGCTACATAAGCTGAATTTGTTGTTTGCAAACAGCCAATAAATGTTGTGTACTTTTTATGCATGGCAGCTTTTATGACAGCAATTTTGCCATGCGTAACATTTGGACAGATATCAGAGATCCTGGAGAATGGAGAGATGAGTAAGCCAGACAGCTAACTGCCCTTTTGAACTTTTTAAGGTTGCCATGTCATCATGAAAAGCTGAGGGGCACTAAGAAAGTGATTTTGTTGGGTGATTGAATTGCAGAATGTGCATTAGGGTCATTTATCTACCTGCTGTTGATGATGCCTGTATTCTGCTTTCAGTGGATAATGGGATCCAAGTACAGAACCAAGCTGAGGCAGAGGTTTAATCTTGTTGAAGCTCCTTATTCTGATATTGTCTCTCACATCTTTTGCTCTTGTTGCTCTCTCTGCCAGGAGTTCAGGGAGCTCCGTAACAGGGGTTTTGATCCCGCTAAAGGTATCATTCACATCTCCTTCGACGTGGCTCTTAGAATAGAGCCCATTTGACAAATCGTAATAGCCGAAAAATGAGAATAGTTCAATTGGATGAATTTGTTGAGTTATATAAATAAATGAACAGCACTAATATATAAAAAATGTTAGGACAGTAAACGTCCCCTGGACTCCCATATTAATATATTTATTGTTTGGTTTGAGCCAAGCTCACATAGACACTTATATTTGAGTTGATTCTCCCTTACTTTTCCAATGTGAGAACTATGTTTTGCCCTAACAAAATGAATCTTGAAGTGCCATTTTGATTAGTTTCAGCAAAAAAGAGAGTAACTTTTGCTGTAATTTAGTGTTGAGTGAAATACCTGTATTTAAGCGTTTATAGACAGGGACGTAGGTAGGGGGCATGCTAGCCGCCTAGCCCCCGGCTTTTGTTAATCCAATCAATTTATACTGCTGACTATGCAACTGTTTATAGTGTGTTATAACATGCATGAAGGGATGCATCATTTGCAGGATGGGATGGTTTACTTGCTGAGCAGCAGCAGGCTACTGGAACATACGTAACCCAGCATATGAGCACTCCTCCCCAACTTCAATTCATGTCAAAGTAGAGATTCCTTTTTATTTTTGCATTCATTGCCGGCCATTTGTTTTTTTGTTACCATTTACGTGTACTAGTTCCTAGACTAGATTTCCTACCTGTACAGTACAAATAAATATCCTGGTGATATATTGATATGAAGCGGGAAGAGCTTGTGGCGGGACCGGGCTTGGGCCCACTTCCGTGGGCCGGTTACGGGCTGTCTTTATAATTATTTATTATTATTTTAAGTTAATGTTATGTTTTGGTTTGGGCCTTTTATTAGTAGAGTACTTAGTAGAGTAGTATGGGCCTAATTAGGATTTAATTAATTTGGGCTTGATTAGGGTTGCTTGTAGAAGGCTATTTATACCCCTCACCAGGGTTCTTTCTTATCATCTTGGAATAAAAGTTTGGTTTAGCCTTTTGGCTCTGGGCAACGGTATTAATTTATCGTTGATTATCTAGGCAACGGTTCACCCCGTTGATTTTACTTTTCTGTTCTTATCAATTGGTCCGACCTGCCGGATCCTGTCCCGCCAAGATGACAAGATCTCAGAATGATCGATTGACGGAATTGGAGAACGAACAAGGCCAAACAAGGGAGGAGGTGGCTCGACTAGGGGCTGAGCAAACCCGGATGAACCACACGCTCGAAGATCATGGCACGAAGCTGGTGGCGATGAACCAGACGCTCGAAGACCACGGTGCAAAGTTGGCAGAAATCGTCGCCTCACTGGCGGCGTTGACCAAGGCGTTAGTGCCGCCTGGTTCACCGGATGTTACCGCCGTTTGGCCGGACGCCGTCGTCGTTTCGCCGGCCGCCGCCGCGGCTGGAGTCGGCAGAGCCGCGATCACGGTGCCGAAGGGTGACAGGGTGCTGCACGACCCAGTTGTGCTGCGCGACCCAATTCCCTCGTTACTGCCTGCGTTTGACGGAACAGATCCAATCGGGTGGATGGCTAGGGCTGAACAACAGTTTGAGATTAATCAAACCCTACATGAGAGGAAAGTGGCGGCAGCTACGATAGCCATGGAAGGGGTTGCCCTGTACTGGCTGACCTGGCTGAAGGCACGAAAACCGGACCTGTCTTGGGAGGAATTCACAGATGCACTGGTGGCCCGTTTTGATTCGCGATTCAAGGGCAACCGATTTGAACGGCTGTCCGGGGCCAAACAGTTGGGGACCATAGAAGAATATAATAACCTTTTTGTGCAGTTGGCCAGTCAGGTTCCTGGGTTATCTGAGGATCATTACTTGGGCTATTACATGAGTGGGCTTATGGAAGCAATCCAAAGCTCACTGCGATTACTTCGGCCGAACAACCTGGAGATAGCTATGGAATTAGCTCGTGACGTGGAGCATAATCTGTCCGTTCAAAGTGGAGAAAGTGGCGGCCTGAATTATCATTCGTCAGGGATTCGTTCTTGCAGCCTTTTAAGGGCAAACACAGGGCCCCCGTTGATTTCCATTGGTGGCAGCTTACAGGGTTCGGAGGGCAGTTTTGCGAAAGATAGTGGGCAGCCTCCGGGGACGAAGTCAGGCCTGTCTGGGCAGCCTACGACACGATCTCAGTTCACCCGTCTTGCGCCAAAAGAGTTAGCAGATTTGAGGGCAAAAGGATTATGCTTTAGGTGCAAGAAACCATTTACACCAACACATGATTGTCCCTTTAAGCAGCTGCGGGTAATGTTAGCTGAGGAGGATGAAGAGTGGGACCTCAAGCAGCATGAATTCTGTGAAATAACCGGCCAGGAAAGGGTTCAGGAAAGAGAAGAAGAATATTTTCCAGTCTATTCTATGTCTAGAAATTTCAGTTCCCGATCCGCGAGTTTTCAACCTTGAGGACAAGGTTATTTTAAGGGGGGTGGATTGATATGAAGCGGGAAGAGCTTGTGGCGGGACCGGGCTTGGGCCCACTTCCGTGGGCCGGTTACGGGCTGTCTTTATAATTATTTATTATTATTTTAAGTGAATGTTATGTTTTGATTTGGGCCTTTTATTAGTAGAGTACTTAGTAGAGTAGTATGAGCCTAATTAGGATTTAATTAATTTGGGCTTGATTAGGGTTGCTTGTAGAAGGCTATTTATACCCCTCGCCAGGGTTCTTTCTTATCATCTTGGAATAAAAGTTTGGTTTAGCCTTTTGGCTCTGGGCAACGGTATTAATTTATCGTTGATTATCTAGGCAACGGTTCACCCCGTTGATTTTACTTTTCTGTTCTTATCATATATTTTCCTGAAGAGAATAATATTATTCAGTGATACATTCTTTGGAAACATTCATGATGTAAAAAGAATTCAATCAGTGCATACATTTCTTGACAATCTTGATAGAAATGACTCTTTTTTTGGGATGTTTTCACAAAGTGTTAGGATGTTTTCTTTGGGATTGTTTTTAGTCCCGGACCAGACTTTCATAATTATAAAACACACAGAGAACAGAGATTTACCAAATCAGTTCAGACCACACCAACAAATTTTAGTCCAAAAGAAAACATCTTAATGGGCGCTAGTGTGGACTTGAGATCGAGGAGTCGCTGAATGGACTACTACATTAAAAAGAATTCTCAGTTAAATACTACCTCCGTCCCCAAAATAACTTCTCATTTCCATAAAAGGTGATTTGTAATAGCAAATATCATAAATATTCTTACTTTTTGTTTGTTACTTGATTTGACATAAAATAAAGGTATAATCGAAAATTCAGAACAAGACTTTATCCTACATAAATATGAGTATAAGAAAAAGTGGGAAATTAATTTTAGGACTGAGAGTATATATGAACATCCACAATCAAATTCATAGTTTATTGTACAGTGTTCTTTATCATCACCACAAAAAGATTCACATTTCAATTTCTTAAATAATTATACTTTTCCATCACAGTTTTTCAGATTTATAAACTTATATCAACATTAATACTTTTTATATACTTGTATTTGATTAAATAAATTTACTAATTATTTGTTTTAACTTTAATCCAAATAATGAAAAATTAATCTTACATATTAACCTAGAGTTATAAAGATCACATAAAACCTCAAATTGCTATAAAATGACATTCTGCTAATTCCATGAATTAACCAGTCGCTAAAATAATTTTTTTTTATGCAAGTTGCTAAAGTAATTTTAGCATTAATATTATTGAGTAAAAACGATTTGTTACTAGAGACTTCGAGCTCTTTCTCTATATCTGTGTGTGGCACTTTTCAGTGGTATTTCGGATGGTTTGCACCATAAGTTGTCATACGAAGTGTAGCCTCATTAAGAAATTAAAAGAACATTGACTACACATGGAATAAGTATTGAGAGATGACAAATTGACTATATCTTAGGTGATATGATCCTTCTACTTGAAGTATCTCAAAGTTCATACCTAGTAGTATTATACACCAGATGAACTTTTGCCTCATTGAAACCACAGTCCTGGCTGATGCAAAAGATGTAACAAAAGAGAACAACTTGATGGGGTCAAGCTTTCTTAAGTTCCTCCATTCAATGTGAGAATACTTCATCCAATCAAATAACCAATTAGCCTAGAGTGTCAAAAGAGCAGCTTCATCAGAGAAAAGTTCCATAACAAATATCAGTTGTAAATACTCGTTAATACACACATATCAACAAACTTCAGGCTCATTTGAGGTAATTGTTCATTCTTTCTCAATTCATAAATTGTTTTTACACAGCTGGACTAATTTCTGGTTTTCAAAATTCCCTGGATGATCTGTCAATTCCAAATCAATCTGTCAATTTCAAAACTCCCTTACTCAAAACTGCAGGGAATCATCAAATTCAGCATCACTCTTCTTAAGAAGCTGATAAACCCTAATCGTCCCGTCCTCCCTCCCAGCAGCAATCAAAGCCATAACTAGCTTCACCAACTCTTTGGAATTGGAAACGTCAAGCTGAATCGCACAATGATTTTCCAAATCGCAAATTTAGCGGTCCATATCCTCTGTCAAGCCATTCCTAATCCTAGCACAATCGGCGGCCGTTTACGCGTATAGGTTCAACTCCGGCGCGTTGTATTCCGGTCAACGGGCGGAGAAGAGTTCGAGAAAAAATCGGAATTGCCTTGACGGATAAGCTCTTCAAAGGCGTTGAGAAGGTCTAACCTAAAGAGGCGAGAAACTGTAGAAGAAACTATGGAGGAAGGGTTTCTTTTCAGGGCACGCTTTAAAGCCTGGGTGGCTTGGATCGCCTCGGTGCTGCGAATTCGGCCATTGAATAGCGGTCCTGGTTCCAACATCGAGCCGGAATGTAGCTTCCAGAGGCGGCGGAGGTCGCTGGGCGGGCGGTTGTTGAACGTCGCTGCAAAATCCACCCGCTGCCGATAAATTTGCTCCGATGTTTCTGTTTTTTTATACAGAAGTTCAGTTCAGAAGATCAAATAAAAAGTAAAATTGTTGGCAACAGAAAAAATCGTCGACAGCAGGATTCGAACCTGCGCAGGCAAAGCCCAACAGATTTCGAGTCTGTCTCCTTAACCACTCGGACATATCGACGTCTTTGTTGAAGAGTCATATCTAGATTTATAAGTTGTTTATAAAACTACTTTCGTTATCAGTGACTGTGACATGTGCGTTGTACCGAGTATATTCCTACATGCTTCAAATTAGTTTTGATTTCGTGCAAAATGAACACTAATGAATTTTACGATGTTTTGATAGTTTTCACATTTTACATACAAGTAGATCTATCATCTCATTTGCACATAAATGTGATCTTACGTTATACATAAAAACATGTGGTGAGATAGAATATGTTGTTGGAAAAATGTGTGAAAAAATTGCATTAAATGGCTATTTTGGGGCAATTTTTTGAGTGGGGTCCACTTCCGATTTGGGTCGGGTCAAAGTGGTTTCGGATTGTCCTTGTTAAGGGCTACAATTCGATATATGATACGCTCAAAACGGATAACGGGTGAATGAGAAATCGCTTTTCGAAATTTACCCGTTAGAAGGGAAAAAGGATGAGTTTCTAGTGTGTTAATTTCCCACACCGGAAAACCCAAGGGATTTGCTACCCTTTATAAAGGGACTCCCCCCTTATGGAGTTAAGATTCTTAAGGGTAAAGGCTCTCTCCACGCGCGCAGGGGGGGGGGGGTTGCAAATCAAATCCCGAATTCGGAGAAGAAAAACCGCGACTTGCGTGCGCGGGCGACCTGCGGACACGAATGTCGTCCAAAAATCTATCTCTCAAGAGATACGATTAATTTTTGTTTTCAGAACCCCTCATGCCGCGGATCAGAGTTGGGGTCTTCTGTCGCGCTTCTGAAACGTTACAACAATTAATGCAGCGTTAAATGGACGATTCAATGCCCAATGGACTGGTCATTGATGTCCAACGTTCAGGTCCATTAATTCACTATTTTCACACAACAAATCCTCCTATATAATGGCTGCACTACTAGAAAAAT